ACTGTCAGATAAAGAACTGTTTGAGAGCAAGGAGGCTGATGTTTCTACTTACCCTTTCCTGTTAGTCGTTTTTCCTATCATGAGCCCCTCACCCATCCACTGTCACTCACACATTTCCCACAAACTATTTTCTACAGTTTGTTGGAGGAAATGCTCAGTCAGTTCCAGTCAGCTACCAAAGCCACCTTCTAAGATGATGATCAGAACTTAAGGGCCTTAGTGGTCTAAACAATAGCATGCAAATGGCAACGTCCCTGTCTTCAGAAAGGAAGGCCCTGTGCAGTTGGGACAGTTGAGAGCAATAGGGTCTTCAGCCACTGCCCAACCTAAAGAAATGAAGGACTCCAGGTCAAAGAAGAAGAATATGAAGTGACATTTGTACCTGCTGTTAACATTTTCTTTCCCTCCAAACATGGTATTTATTTCTACATCAAACATTACCTGCATGTTATGAAATTAACAAATGTGTATGGGCCACACTGCCTGTCACGAAAAAGAAAGGAGTGAAACTACACACAGTTAGGCTCCATCCTTAGATCCTCCCACACCTGAACTGGAGAGAGACCACCCACAGGTGTATCTCACACGCACCCTAGCAATGCATGTCAGAACAGGAACTTCAAAGAGCCCTACTTGCACATAAGGCATGCCAGGCTCTCCCAAATGGTTATGGGTTTTGTTCATTCCTAATCTTAGAAGGAAAGCCAATGATACCTCTGTAATCTTACTCAACACTTCAAGAGATATAATATGGCCTGATATCACACATGTACACCTGAGGATCACGACATCCTGCCGATCACAATGGGACAATCCCCACTTTATGACCCACAAAATGTGGACTACTGAATTCTTCATTTATCTTCATGGATTTGACAGTGATAAAATTGTAATACTGTATTTCTACAATTTTGACATGCGCATCAGAAGTATTTTACTTTCCAAATGTAAACAAAGGTTTAATGTTTTAAAAGATGAAAGTTTAAAACTTTTTGTCCATAACTACTATTTATGATTAATAACTGGCTTAATTTCCGAGTCACTGAGAAATAAATGTCCTTACAACTTGTTTTACATCAAAATAAGTCAAGCTAGATCAACTTAGACTTCCAAAATAGCTCTTTCAAAATCTTCATGAATGTTTAAGAATTTTAGATGAACGCAATGCAACTATGGATACATTGCAACTATGGGCAAAGAATATATATGCAATGATTACATTATCCAGATCCTAAAGGAATTCCATTAAAGAATTACATAACTGACATAGAAAAATTACGATACTTTTTCATAACAATCCCTTCACTTTTAATAAGGTGGTCTTGGTGCCAAATAAATGAGGTTGTAGCTATTGTGTCTGTTTCTGGCTGAATGGACATTTCTAAGCAGAGGATGAATGGAGTTCATTTAGAGGTCTTGCAAATGGACTCAGACTCTTTTCATGCATAATGGATTTCAGGAAGAACATTTAGGACAAACAACTTTTTCTTTTTTCTGTTTTTTTTTCTTTTTTAAATTTAACCCTTTTAACTTCAAGGGAGAGAGTAGGAAAGAAGGAGGAAAATTCTGAATAGTTTTGTTCCCCACTCAGTGACGGCATGGTCAGACACTTGTTTCATGGGAAATAAAGACACCAAGATCAGTCTGGAGGGAATTATCTCAATTTCTATGCCTAAAAATTAATTACAACAGTCCTGATGCACTAAACTATAATTTAAAAAAAAGCTTAACAATAATGTAATATTACCACTTTGCAAGCCAACTGAATCATGAAAAATAGGTTTCCAAGTCAATTATGCTACTAACATAACAGTTTCTAGACTTCAGAAATCAGTTTTCTTGTGTTTACTCATGTGATTAAATATGTTACAATTCACAGATGCGTAAAGGTGACAAAAGAAAGTGGACTGACATACATTTCTATTTTTTTACATTTTAAATCCAGACTTAACATTCTTCCATGTTTGGAATTACTCTTTTGTTCACAGAGATGTAATTTGCACCACACATGTATATTTAAAGACTAAACCCAATCTCATATTTAAAACTAATATGAACTAGTGCTCATTCCCTTACTTTTTTCTAAAGATATTGAATGAATATATTTTTAGTCCAGAAACCTTCGATAAAAAGCAAGAATTCCTTTTAATAAATGAAGATAAATACAAGCAAGTATGAAAAGCTCCCTGATTTAGAGCTAGCATTTTAACTTGGTTTTATAGGGGAATAGCACGGTTCTCTCACTGACTGAACTAACCCAAATTTAACAAATCTGAAGATGTCCGAGAGAATTAAATTCCTACAGATTTTCTGAAAATCGGTGGTTGGGAGGCACACAGACATTGCAGTGGAAAAATGGGTAAGCCAAAGGACATAAATGCATTGAAAATTAGGCTTAAATTAGTTATGTCATTGTTTTTGTCATGGTTACTAATCACTTCCTTGATATACTGAAGAACACTGCTATCAAAACTGGGATGAGAAATGGGCTCTGGCGATCCATAAAAAGTTCCAAGGATTAACAGGAATGCAGGATCCTGTTCACAATGCAGTTGCTACAGGGAAAAAAAACCCCACCAAAATAAAAAGAAAAAAACACCAACCAGCAACTCCCCTCAATCCCCCCCAAAAGACAATATCTGCCTCTTCAAGACACCAAAATGTAAAACAACTAACAAACCAAAACACTCCCCCTCTCTCTGGGTTTTATGCACCATCTCAGCTGATTCTCAGCCTCATTAAACTTTCCATCCTCCTTCACAGAAGCTGTAGCACTAGAGACACAGATCCAAAGCAACAACAGCTTTTAAAAGAGAATCAGGATGCACTTTCTCTCCCTGCTTTCTCTGTCCCTTTGTGGAGAGGTGGTCTTCATGTTCTTTGTGAAATGGGAAAGTATTATTCATCGGAATATACAAAAATGTTCTGTGACATGAATAACTTTGGCCACCTGAAGTCAATGGAATCATTTACATTGGAAGAGTTCCTGTTAGTGAAAGCAGAGTTAGGATATTTAGAGATCATATCAGAGATTAATAATCTTCTGACATCAATACTCATAGCTACCAAAAAATGGCCATTCCTTTGCTGATCTTTTAATCTTCAAGTAATGACTTGAGAAAAGAACTCTTAAAAGCAAAAGCTTAAACATCCTTTATCAGTATTTACATACTCATTGGGTATATATAGTATTGTATACCATAACATGTTTGGAATAGCTTGTTCTATTACTTTTATTTCTATTATTTCAACTTTATATCAACATTAGTGCCATATAATGCATCTTATGAATATATTAAAGCTTTGAATGTCAGTATAGGTTGATTTCACTAATTACCTTATGAGGAAATTTGATGACGAAACATAAAATATTGCCTATACATACAGCAAATGCATATGCAATACACTCGCAAAACCACAGAGCTATTCTATGGGATGGTAAGGACAGACAATCCTTACCTGCTATCACCCTTGCTTACTGTTTTATCTCCTCCTCCTTCACCTACTTATATATTCATATGATCCTCTGACAAGCTGATTCAGATTGTTAAATGGCCACAGAAGTGTACAGTTCTAGAACTAGTCATAAACCTAAATAACTCCCCAGAGAAGAAAAAATAAAATTTTGAGAAAGATAGGGGTAAGAAAAGTTCCTCCTTCAGCAGCAGCAGTTAGGTTCATATATTCAGTGATTTTATTAAAATTAAAAAAAAAACAACAGAGATCACAGTTGTGTTCAAACCAACCACCAAATGATCAGAAAGACCTCCACAAACTTGTCTTCTGAAGCCTTACTTTCCATTATGTTCCCCAACACCATCCCTAGAGCTGCTCTCAGACAAGCAGTTAATGTCACACTAACTTTAAATAACCACAGCACTAGAATCCAATACTGCTCTATTTTGGCACAATTTTTACTTAACAGGGTCAGTTACTCCGAAAATCATATTTAACAGCACATGACAAAGTATTCATAGCACCCTCTCTTCTTTTGTAGAAGTGTAGGGCTTTCCTCTGCAGCAATTAAACCAAAGGGAAGCTTGTTATGATGCTATTGTACTTTAAAATTTTTATAAAGGAAATACAATGTATTTCAAGTAATAGGATCCAGGTTTCATTACAATCACTTTTACAAAGTACCTTGGACATTCCACTCAGTCCAAGAGAGACATCTAATGTAACGGAGCAGCTGCTGTGGCAGGAATGGAACCTATAGAGATGATGGCCTTCTAGAAGAACTGGTGGGACACTGTCAACAACAGTGGAAAGGCACTGAGCAGACTTGTATTATATAACC